AACTATATACGTTTTTTGAGCTGGATAACTTTGAAAGGCTAGTATCGTGTTTGGAATTAAATGTTTGGAAGATATAAATCAGAGTTGTGAGATATAAATTAGAATTGTGATATAAATCAGAATTACAAGATAGACGCAAAATTGTGAAATATAAATTCTGAATTACGAGATGTAAATCAGAACGCCGAGATATAAACCCTGAATTGTGAGAAAGAAAGTCAGAATTTTGAATTCTCTCAGAATTCTGAGGAAAAAAAGTCCAAATTGTGAGACAAAAAGTTGCATTAAGATTGGGCTTCCATTCAATCAGAGACGGATACTGACAGCCTGAAGACTCGAGAGAGATGAACTCACCCGTGAAGATGCTGGTAAAGGCCTCTAAACCTGCGGCTTTATAAAGATGTTGATGTTCAACAACAATCCACAATCAGTCACGCAAGCTCAGAAATATCAACGAGTCTCTGAGGGTCAACTACAGACCCAGCCGGTTACATAGCAACAACAGCACATGCTCATTAATATTCATGAGCCGTCTTCTCCATATTTTGTATTGGATGAGACGTTGGCCACGTCAGGTCCCAGATCAGTGAAGTTTCCAGATGCATGATCAGATTCAGATTCAAGCATCATGATGAAGATCAGAGACAGTCAGAGTGAATCAGCTGAATAAACCACATTCCGTTCATCAGGACACGCCCTTCTCTGAGCGTACGTGACTCCAGTCACAGTCAGTTCAAACCAGCCGCTCTGCATCTAATCATCTTTTATTGCACATGATATGCACTCTCACAAAGCTTTCAGTTATCAGTTATGAGATTAAAGCCTTGTACAATCTGTGTAATAATAATAATTAATGACACTGTTTTCAAAAGGGATTGCTCTGTGTGGTGACCGTCGAGAAGGACTCTTCGTCTTCATCCTGAAATCAATTAAAGAAATATTAATTTCGGACTTATTATAAATGCATGCTGCCATAACGCAAGGAATGTTCTGGGCTCAGATTGAAGTCTGAATAAAGAGTTTTGCACATATTTAATTAAAGTTATCGCGCACTGTAAAAATGATATGATGAATAAGTCAAGATTTATTTTTCCATTACTTTAACTCATTACATTTTCCAATTTAAACTTTTCAGTCAGTTTATTATAATTGACTTTATTATAAGTAATCGTTTGACAGCACTAATTTATAATCATATAATATAATAATATATAATTATTAAAAGTTGAAATGACTTGCAGCCAATTTGATTATACTTGCACTAGTCGTATCCGGAGTTTAGTTGGTTTATTGGTTTATTTTACACAGTCAAGGTCAGTCAGTGATGGACTTTAGTTTCATGTTAATAAATAATATGTACAGGTAAGGCTTTAGAATTAGGTCTCATTAGTTATGCATTGACTAACAATAAGCAATACATTTGTTAGTATTTATTAATCTTGGTTTACTATTAAATAATAAAAAATACAACTACTTATTGTTAGTTTATGTTACCTCAGGACCATTAAATAGTATTAACTTAAAAAAAAATTTTTTTTAAATATGTATTAGTAAATGCTGAAATGAACATTAAGATTAATAAAAGTATTTTCATTATTAGTTCATGTTAACGAATGCAGTGAACTAAAGGAACTATTCGAATTCGGAATATTCGTCGAATTTAGAATAAAAAGCACAAGAGAGCCGCATGTTTAGAAAGCGATGTAAAATTAATGCAAGGTCAACTTTTAAAAAACATGTCTTGAGACTTTTATGGCAGTTTTCCCCATCCCACTGCATCTCATGTTTTTAAATGAAAAAGTACTCTTTGTGATCGGTTTCAATTGTTTAAGCTACTTAATTAATTATATATGGTTTATAAACATTAATTTAAACATTATGCACTTTTTTCACAGATAGTCGTGTTGTTTTATTGCTTTTAATAAATGTGCATTAGTAATATTTTGGTCGATGCGCCCTCTTGTGGCCTCAGGAGAGAAGCCAAAAGCTTTTTTTCCCCTTAACTGAAATTATGCCTTTTAAATATAAAAGTACAAAATTCGAATTTAGTTTTTCAACCATTTTGACAGCCCTGTAAATATAATTTTAGCTTGTTTTGACAGATGACGGTGGTAATCAGCCGGTGGATGGTGTTTACAGAGTTTAATCTGAAC